GATTTACCTCTCAGCTTTGCCACTTCGTAGCTGTGTGCTTTAAACAATGTCTTTAATTTTATGCCCAAGCTTTTTTCATCTGTGAAATGGGGCTATAATGCTTTCCTTCTGAGGGTGCTATAGCATCAAATGAATGTTTAGTATGGTGCCTGGCCCAGGGAAAGTGTTCAATAAAAGTCACTGTCGTTTGTAGGTGTGGCAACATTACACTGAATCCATCATTCAGATACTTTGCTAGAAAGGTCTCAGGGAAATTTTTTCCACTGCTATCATTCCTTAAATAGAGCTCTATATTACAGTTTCCATCGAATAGCAGGCACTCTAGCAAGGGGGTTGTTCATTGAACCAGCCCATTGTTCTTAAAACAGGCTGGGTAAGAACTAAGAGGGGGGAAAGTGAAGGAAACAGCTGGAGTGAAGGCTTCTGGGGAGGCACAGATGGGATAGCGTGTGGGTTAGGAGTGAGGAAGGAGGAACAGGCTGAGGAAGGGAGACAGGCTGAAAGTTCTGACTTCCTTCCAGTTCTGTCCAGGCTACCCCTCACTCAGCTCTGCTCTGGTTTGAGATGGCACCTCACTGAAAGGTGAAAATAATGTTCACCTTTTTATAAGGCAGTTTATAATCTCCAATGAAAGGGATTATTGTTGTTATTATTTTGACTATGTAGCGTCCTCAGACATATCCATCAAACACCTCCACTAGTGAAAATTAGCACCATGGTTAGGCTAGGTGCAGTCAAAATGCAAACACATGGTTTTGAACTAGGGGGCGGGTGTGAAATACAGGCATTGGCTCTCTTCAGGTTGGGCCCTGACTAATAACTCTTGACTGGCTTTGGGGACAGGGTGGTGAGGATGTAAAACAGAGGCAAGGGAGGTTCTCCCACAACTGTGCAATAAGCTCTGAGCTTAGACATTTATTTCTAGTGGAACATGATGATGGGTTAGTCTTACTCCGCATTCTAGGATGCCAAGGGCACTAACAGAAGATACATTGCTCTCCCTGCAGGAATGCTGTAAGAATTAAATAAAATAACAGAAGGTATTTGTACCCCAAGGCAAGTGGGGAGTCTTACTTTCTCCAGCTGCACAAGAACAAGCCTTCCCCAAGGCTAAAAACTTAGAGTACCCAAGAAAACCTGGTCCACAGAGTTGGATAGACCATGGTTCAAATCCCAGCTCTGCCACTTACCAGCCATTTACTCATTTGTTATTTTATTTATTCATTTTTCATTTTTCTTCTATTTATTTATTCAGTACATAAGTACCAAACCAAATTTATTAAACAAAATGTTACTGATGATCTACTTTGCACCAGGCACAGTGCTGTAGATACAGAAATGAATAAGACTAACAAGGTTTCTGTCCTTATGAAGGTTATATTTTTATGGGAGATGAATATCTTGAGCATTAACATTTTAAAGATCTCTAAAATGATTAGAATGAGGGTCAACTATCATTGCTCAAAAGTCAGACCCCGACAGTTATCCCACAGATAATTATTGAGCATTGACTGTGTGCCAAGTATATTTTAGGTTTTGGGTTCCAACAAGAAGAGTAAGGAAGAGATTTAAAAACTAAGAAAATATTAGTCAGCTATATATATATAATAGAATCCCTCGGGGATGTCCTACTGCCAGTTTAGGCCTGATCCTGCAGAGAATGAGCCTAAATCGGCAGTTGGACATCCCTCTCGCAATCTGGGACTGCTGTCTCCTAACCACTCACCTGCCTGCCTGCCTTATTGCCCCTAACCACTCTGCCTGCCTGACTGACCATACCTAATCCCTATGCCTGCCTGCCTGATCACCCCTAACCCCTCTGCCTGCTGGCCTGATTGCCCCTAACTGCTCTCCCCTGCTGGCCTGATCACCACTAACCACCTCTGTCTTGGCCCCTGCCACCATGGTTTCGTCCGGAAGAAGGACCAGATGACTGGAAGGTGTCCAGTCAACCTAGTCTAATTAGCATATTAGTCTTTTATTAGTATAGATTATAAATTATTAAATAATATGTTATAATTATACTATTATATAGAATATATGATATTATATTAATAATATTTTGTTATATTAATACTAGTGACTTGGTGCAGAAAATTCATGCACATTAAAAGGGAATTAGAGAAAATATTTTAATATTGCTTGTTGCCCTTTCTCTGTAATAGAAGTGTCAGAGATGAAAGGAAATTAGTAAAATGTATATGAAAACCTTCCTCCTGTCAGAGTCTGGACATGCCTTGGGATCCAGAGTCAAGTCCCTGCTTATCCACGAGTGCCTCGAAATCATGGAAGACCCAGACCCAGCCTGCCCCACCTCTGTCAAGCCCCACAGGTTGGAGGGTGCAGCCTCAGGTCCCCTGGCCCAGTGCTGGGGGGAGGGTGTGTGTGTGTGTGTGTGTGTGTGTGTGTGTGTGGCCTCAAGTACCCTTGCCCCAGTGTAACAAAGTAAGGGCAGGAGGAAGCAAGGGTGTGATGACCATTTGCATATTAGCTCTTTATTATATAGGATGTTAAGGTCAATTACACCTTAATTTTTTAAAAACCAGTAAATTGTGGAATGGGAATCTGAAGCTAGAGGCTCCTGTGTCTATGTTCCTACCCAATGTGTTATACTGTCTCCTAGATGATAAATGGGAGGCCTGGTGTGCGCCAAACTCTAATCCATCTCTGGGGCCAGAGCAGGATTCTCTGTGGAGGTGAGCTTTAAACTGTGATTGAATTAAGAGGCATCTAGGCAGAGGAAATGGTGTGCAAAGCCTCAGGTGAGAGGGAGCAGAGTAGGCAGCAGGAATTCATGGTGCAATGCAGTTTGAGTGGAGAGAACAAGAGGTGAGCTGGAAAGGGGACTGATGCCAGAGGCTGTTCCCTAAGAGCAATAGGAAGTCCCAGGGTTCTTACAGGGAAGGGCTTCCTCATGAGAACTCTGCTGCCCAGGGAACCCAGATTGGACTGCAGGAGGGCTGGGCTTTTTAATTTTATCTTTTAGAATCAATTTACAAACTAACAGTTCCCATCCAGGATGGTAGGGCACCTCTGGGCCATTTGAGGATGTGTGGAAATAATTTGGGTTGCTGCACTAATTGCAGATGTTAAGAATCCAGTAATATGAGAGATGCCCCTCTCTCCCCTACCCCCAAACACAAAGGCCATTTTCTAAATGCCAAGGAGGCCCCCACTGGGAAATCCAGCAATCGGGGAAAGCCAGAGGTATCCCTGCTGGAATACAAATGTTATAAGCCACGATAATGCAAAAGCAATTGTATAGCTGAGAGACTCTGAGGAATGGAGGGGGCCAAAGAGGAGAAGGGAAATGTCAGGGCGAAAATTTATTCATCTTACATAGTGTTTGTGAAGAGACACTATCTAAATGTGTGGGTCCAAAAATAGATGGTTAAGTGAATTAAAGCTATAAAGGAAATGAGAGAAAAGTAAAAGAGGAGGAGAGAGAGAAAGGCATAAATAAGCTAAATTCTTTATCTTTCATAGCAGGGAGCCAACAAATACTTAAGGTTAATGAGTCAAGAAATGGAGGCAGAAACACAGTATTTAGAATTATAGACGAAACCACCAGAAAACCAGGGAGAAAAACCATCAGAAAAAGAAGTGGAATCAAAGTTTGAGTTCAAGGGTAGGAAATGGTCAGGGAGAGTCTGACTTTGCGTTTGATCCCTTCTCTGAAATACTGTTTGTATGTTATTCCCATCCGTATGTGTTAACATCAGTGAACTTTAGTTTTCTGCCTTTCTTAAGGCCAGCCTCGATGATGGATGTCAAATGGCCTCTCCCAGGAGCTGGTTCTCTTTTTCAGGGACCTGTGAAACCTGGGGAGCCTGGGGGCCACCTTCAGAATTGGGTCAGGGTTTTGTAGTGTAGCATCTCCTCAACAGGCATGGGGAGTTCCTCCCGAGGCTGTGAGAACTTCCCTGCCCGCACTGGGTCTCCATCCATTTTTTTCCTTAAGGGATTGGGGAGGCTTTGTTGCTGGGAGGGATGGAGGTCAGCCTCAGAAGATCCTGGAAGATCCTCTGAGGCATCCTTATTGGCTGAAGGGCTTGCTCCTATTCCATGCTGTCAGGTAAGAGTGGGACTTGCTCTAAAGAGGTGGGCAGGTTCCTAAACAAGCCATGTGGGTAGAGGATATGGGGGAAAGGGTGGAGTCAGGTTTGTGGGGGCAAGAATTAGAATCCAGCATGGTCTGAACCTTAGCCCTCCAAATACCAGCGCAGCGGGGCTTCGATTTGTCACTTTTTCATATGGCCAGTTGGTAGAATCACTCCTGTTTTTCTCCACTGCCTTTCTGTTAGATAGTGAGACAGTATGCTGTTAGTTCCTTACATATCTGTATCTCACTTTTCTGTCATCTGTGATCTCTTTAAGGGTGAATCTGAACCCCATTCATCTTTATATCCTCTGTCCTGAGCATCATATACTTAATAAATGCTGGTTGAATCAAGAAATAAACAAATGAATGAATGGATAAGTGAATGAATGAAATACTTACTATAACCCCTTTTGAAAACAATAGCAAAACAGAGTGTGGAGTACAATAAAAATTCCATTAATTGCTGTACATCCCTGATTGTGTCAATCTGGTGCAAGTCTCTCTCTCTCTCTCTCTCTCTCTCTCTCTCTCTCTCTCTCTCTCTCTCTCTCTCTCTCTGTGTGTGTGTGTGTGTGTGTGTGTGTGTGTTGTGGCTTCAAACTAAAGTTTAGCTGTTAAACTTGGACTGTTAACATATTCCCTTTCTTTTGACTATTCTCAGGAAACCTGAGAAATAAATGACAAGCAAACTCCCTAAGTGGCCATGATTCTGAGACATAGACAACTGGAAAAAACTGAAGGATATAATTGGCCCTGGCTGGGGACAGTGTGTGGGTGTGGGCTGTCAGCTGGAACGGAGAGAAAATAGCACATCCGCCAGTTGAAAATAATTAAACAGAAATTTACTCATGCAGTCCAGCAACTGCAAGGGAACAAAGGGTTGTGCAGACGCCTGTACCTTGGTAGGCATGGGCTTCTTAAAGGCGATCTCCGCTTCCATCCAAACGCCTCTCGGAGTCTCCAGCACAGACCAGATCTTCTCTTGAACCACGTGGTTCTCTTCAAAGATATATACAGCTAGAGTGTCTCTCATTTTTAAGAATCCATAGATGGCGTAATAAAAACGCAGACAATACTGCAGGTTTCCCGGCAGGGTAGGACCGTAGAGCCTTCCAATGTAGCCAGGCTGCGATGTAAACTTGGTGTTGGCCAGCAAGTAATACCCTGTGAATGGGACAAAGCAGTCAGTGTATCGGCCAGGGAAAGTTTAAATAATATAGCTCAGATGATCAAGTGTAAAAATTTGGTTAAAATCATGGAATTAGTCAAGAGACTATTTCCACAGGCTTTACATGGTAAAGCATTTTCTAATATCTGGCTTGATGATAGAACAGACTTATACTATAATGCCAATAAACCTTCTCCAATTCTAAGTAAACTTCATAAGCAGGTATAGATTTCCAACCGCATATGCCTAGGTTCTGGTCATTGATTAGGATTTATAATTGTTGACCATGGCTCAATCCACTGCCTTAGACTGAGAACCAGTGCTGAGTCATAGTGAGCATAAAGCCTAGGGCCGATTTCCCATTCTCTCTGCAGTGACCATTGGAGATGGAGAGGTTGCAGGCTGGCCTGGCAGTGCTGGGTGAGGGAGGGTGGGTGTGTCTCAGTCATATGTTAAACCTGCCCCTGAGGAGCAGGTTTTGAATCAGATGGACCTTCCCTCCCACCTGCTTCTCCACCCCCATAGTAAAAAATAATACAGAAAGTCCTCACCTAAAGTCATTGACAGATTGACACATTCTATACAAAAATAGGCATGTAATGAAACCAATTTTTCCAAAGGCTAATCGATGCAACAAGAATTAGGTTCCTACAGCATCTCACCAACATTAAGCAATAGGCGTAGAATAAAATGAGTTATGTGAGGACCTGCTATACTCTACATTTTTTCTTTTCCTTCTCTGCTCCTGCTCCTCTCCTGTTACATTGTTGTTGTTGTTGGTGGTGGGTTCTGGTTGGTTTTTTTTTTTGGAGGGGCCGGGGAGATAGTGGTGTCTCAGTCTTTGCTATATAGTTAGTTTTACCCAATTATTTAACTCACTTGGGAAAAAGTTCTATTTCACAGGAGTGAGATTATGAACTGAGATGTATATGCATATGTCGAGGCCCAACCCCAAATGAGACTATTTGGAAACAGGGCCTTTAGGAGGTAATTAAGGTTAAGTGAGGCTACAAGAGTAGGGCCTTAATCCTATAGGACTGACTTCATCAGAAGAGGAAGAGACCCCAGAGATCTCTCTCCACGTGTACACACACAGGAAAGGCCACGCGAGGGAACCCTGAGAAGATGCAATCTACATGCCAGGAAGGGAGGGCCCACAAGAAACCAATCCTAACAACACCTTGACCTTGGACTTCCAGCCTCCAGAGCTGTGAGAAATAAATGAATTGTTGTTTAAGTCACTCAATCTATAGTGTTTTATAATGGCCACGCAAGCAGACAAATCCAAGGGACCACACAATAGCCAGCCATCTTTTTGAAATCTAAATTGAATCACTCTCTTCTCTGCTTAACACCTTTCAATGGCTTCCCATTGCCTTTATAATAAAATCCCAAATGCTTCCTCTGGCCTGCTACCCCCATGACCCATCTCCCTCTCTAACTTCGTTCTCCTCCCTGTGGTGCCACCATGGAGAGTCTAGCTCTTTCCAAACTTGAGGTTCCCACAGATGCCATCCCCTCTGCCTGGGTGACCCCCACTGTCCTGGCTAATTCCCACTTCCTTCAGAAGAGGGTTCCCTGAATCCCCAACCAATATTAGGTTTTTCCCCCTCTATGCTCTCTGAGAACTCACTCTTCATTTCTTTTATTGCACCTACCATAAGTCTTAATGATGAGTTTATCTGTGTCTATATTTGTCTAATGTTTCTCCTGTCTATTGAAATGACTTGTCAGTCACACAGGACAAGTTTTATACCTGACTTACTCACTACTGTATCTCCCATGAGTTAGTCTGGCCAAGATCAGAACAGGTTTTTGCAGGGCCTGTGCTTGTACAAGTCAAGCAACCTCTGAGAAAAAAAATTCAAAATTACAAGTATTATATCGCAAAGGCCCCCTTCAAGGCAATTCTCCCCAGTGCCCAGTGTGAAAGTAATTGTTAAATAAATAATGAGACACTCACCCCATGAGAACCATCCCTTTCCACCAGTGTCTACTGGAGGGAGCTTCACAGGGGAGCCATTAAAGCGATATGTAATCCTGATACAGGGAGCTCTAACTGCTTCTTAAGGGTCCCTTGTAGATACTCCATCAAGTGCCTACCAACATTTCCAACAGCTTTTATCCCCCACCCCCAACATATATTTTTTTCTCACAGTGAAATATCCATAGCATAAAATTTGCCATTTCGATTATTTTCAAGTGTACAATTCGGTGGCATCTAGTTCATTCCCTATGCTGTACAACCACCATGGTTATTTATTCCCAGCACATTTTCATCACCCCCAAAGGAGACTCTATACCCAGGAAATAGCAGCTCTTCATGTCCTCCTCTCAGCCCGTGGCCACCACTAATCATTTCGTCTATAAGTTTGCCTATTCTGAATATTTCATATCATTGAACTCTGGTCGCTTTTTAAAGGTACTTCTCCATTTAAAGTGAAGAGCAAGATGATTTCCAAAGGCTTGGCATTAATTTATTGGCAAAAAGTATCACTAGCCTAGCAACGTGAATTCCAGTTTTAAAAAAATGGTCAAATGAAAGATTAGCAATTGTCTTTGCCGCTTTACAGCTGTCTTCTTCTTCTTCTTCTTTTTGAAGTCTTAGTAGATGTGGGAAAAGAATGGAGAATGAAGCATGAACAGTGCCCCCACCCTGCCCATCTCCTCCATCCTCCTCCCCCAAACTCCCCATAGGGATGAACCCTGGCTTACCTAGGCCTGACGTGTGGTCGCCAGCCCGGTACATGTTTGGTTTCACTTTCACCCGGGCCCAGCCCGGACCTTCTTTGTCTTGGTAAAAGTTGCAGAGATCTTCCTCGAAATTGCAGCTGGCATCTATGGCACTGAAAGGAAGCTCTAAGCAAAGCAGAAGCAACGTTAATGTGCACTTCACCCAAGGCTTTCCAAGGACGTCACCCACTGACTGACAAATGTGTACACATTTGTACCAGGAGAAGTAAAACACATCACAATGTTTTTAACCCAATGGCACGCTGACAGGTTAGCATCAGATCAACATGTCAGCATGGCAGGAAAATGGTTCTTTTCCTCCCTACGGGGATGGAAGGAAGACGCTCCTTTCACATTCTATACAAAGATAGGGAAGTGCCAGACTTCAAGAGCAATTTCTTTTCATGCTGTAGAGAGTGTGAACATTTATTCATACACTTCTTTGCAATTCAAAATTCATTCATACAAAATTAAAAGGAAAGAGAAAAGACAGGGATTTTAGGAAATCCTTAATTTCACTTTAAGACAGATACTTTAGAAATAATATTTTCCAGAGAGAAATTTTTTCTTGTTGATCAACCCCTGTGGCAGAAGCGCAGCCACCGTCTATTTATAATTGACATTCTTAGCAGAAGCTGATCTTCTGGGAGAAAATCATTACTTAGTATAAATCACACTGAGCAAAAAGATATACCAGTTCTGTCACTGATACTGCTATTCTTCTTCTTCTTTTTTTTTTTCTTCTGAGTTCCAGTATCATTTACCTTGGTTTATAAATGCCCTCTCATGCCAGATTGCCGGAGGGAATGGCATATAAATTATTTCTGTTCTTTTAAGAATAACTTAGTCCTAGCAACAAATTATTTCAGACCTCACTGTGAAGCAGACTTTGGGACACATTCAATGTAGCTGAGTGGGATCCTGTGCTGCATGCTGACATTTCAGTGCTGGTGCAACCTTTTAGGGCAAGAGAGAGGGGGCACTGTTCTGAATCCCTGGAAAACCCCCCTTAGAGGAACACTGGAGTTCTCAGAGCAGTGATCTAGTGAAACAGGGAGCTGTTTAGGGACAAATGCTAGTATACTCTCAATTTATCAATTTTCAAAGCAAGAAAACATTCCAGTGGACCCAGGAACTGGCCCAGATTAAGGGTACAAAAGAGGCAGGACAACTTGGTCCAGGAAACAAACAGTTATAAATCACATTACTGGGGGCATTGGCAAATTAGTATATGGACTATACTTTCATTGATAGTATTCTATCAGCATTAAGTTTCCTGAAGTTAATCATGTTGCAGAGCATGTTTGGTTTTAGGAAACACACATCGAAGTATTTAAGGGTAAAGGGGCATAATGTTCACAACCTACTCTTAAATGGTTGATAAAGCAGCAGATGTGGCTAAATGTTAACAATCTGTAGATCTGGGTGAAGAGTACACAGGAGTTCTTGATAGAATTCTTGCAAATTTTGTCCGAGTTTGAAATGATACAAAACAACCCCGTTCTAAAAACACTAAATTAAAAAAGAAAACAAAAAACACAGTGACTAACATTACAAAGAAGAGGATAGGAATGTTCCCCGCACTGGGAACCTGACAGTGTCTCTGGGACCCTACAGGTGCAGAGAAAGAGCACCCGCTGAACCAGGCAGGAGAAAAGGGAGTGACGGGAGGCCTCTGCTCCAGGACCAGTAGGTTAGCCCCGCACTGCTCGGCCTGCCTGTCAGCATTAGGGAGTATCTTTAGGATGTGGAGACAGTCTTTCAAAAATGAAAATGATGTCATACAAACAAGGACCCTTTGACATCCCCCCATAGAGATTTGGTGCCATGGGAAACCCTGTGACTGTCTCCAGTCTTAGTCATCCCTCTGCTACCCAGTAATAAAAAAGAAAGAAAGAAAGAAAGAAAGAAAGAAAGAAAGAAAGAAAGAAAGAAAGAAAGAAAGAAAGAAAGAAAGAAAGAAAGGAAGGAAGGAAGGAAGGAAGGAAGGAAGGAAGGAAGGAAGGAAGGAAGGAAGGAAGGAAGGAAGGAAGAAAGGAAGGAAGGAAGAAAGGAAGGAAGAAAATTTAAAATCTACAGAAAATGTCATGGCATTCCGCAAAGCCATGCTCAATGAGAACTGCAGGTCAGTGAAATTACTCATCAGGAATACATAGCACGGAAGATGCCCCTGGGAGGCCACAAGAGAACCATAACCCATTTATCAGGTATTCAGAAGAGGGTGGGAGGTGGTATGAAAACTTCAAAGGAAGCAAGGATTACCTCTCTCCATGGTCACCAACTAAGTCATACAGGAAATATTTTTCTGAGGATGAGATTATATTCTTTTGCTAAATATTCAGTCCTAGAAATGGATTTGTCCAGGACCCTGAGAGAGGTCTGATAAAACAAAAATCTCAAAAGCATAGTTCAGAGCCTAAATCCTTTCCACCCAGAATGCTTTTCAACCATGAGACAGTCTCTAATTCCTGAAGGTGAGGCCAGAAGGCCTGTTTGTGGCCTGACATGAGCTCCTCAGAGCTCTGAGGGGGGAAATGCCTTTGCCTCAGGCTAGTTTCAGAAGCACCTGGTCAGCTGGGGGTCACAATTGAGCTGCTGGGAGCCTTAATGACATATTTAAAGCACAGGAAGGATCAGGCAGGTGGAAGTCCCCCAGGCAGTAGCTGATCAGAAAACAAAGTCCCTAGCAAGGCACCAATAAGCATTAAAATGTAAGGTTTTGTTAATCCCTTGCCTTCTGACGTTTGAACTTTTTAGAAATGAGAGGCTTTAAAGATAATCTAATCAGACCCAGGGTTACTGCAGTTGGAGAAGAACTGGTGTGAGCGTTTCTCATCATTTGCTCTGCTCCTTGGAGTTCATGGTGATGAACACAATATTTGTCCTAGAGATTTAGAAGCTCGCCAGCCCCTGTGCAGCAAGAGGGATTTGGGTGCCATGTGCTCGCTAGGCTGTTGAATTAGCACAGTAATTGTGTTTAGCACAAGCCAGCTAGGCCGGGACAGCTCAAAGCTGGCTTGGGGAAGAGAGTGAGTGGGACCTGGCACCAGGCCAAGGAATCATTTCAGAGCAGAGGCTGGGCCAGTGACCAGGCTGTGGAGACGCTTGAGGGCCTCTGAGCTAAGGATGGCTATGGCAACTTCAGCTGTAACCATGGAAACAACTGGAGCCAGGTTTCCAATGGAACAAGACGTCTGGTTAGTGCATTGTTATTGGTGAATAACAAGATCGGTCAAGATTGGAAATTAGGCCCAATTAGACCCCTCCCAAACCCTGGCCTTGGTATGGGGTGGACCCAACCTCAGAATAGTGAAGCTTTTAGTTTGAGGTTGAGCGGTAAGGCAGGATTTCTAGAAGTGAATGGAATCACCTGTCAGGCATTCAAGATTTACAGCCTAAAAAAAGAGCTTCTTCCTATGATCCGGACTCTAGATCTAATGGCAGAAGGGAGTCTGTGGATGGGAAAGGCAAGTGCTGGAACCCACGGTGGGAGGAGTGGGGTGGTCTCTGTCCTTCGGAGCACCTGGAAATACTCAGGGAGCAACACGACATTGGTGTGTAACCCCCGTGACGCTGCGATGGGTTTCAGGTCGGGATTAAATCTAAGCCCAGCCAGATGGTGGAGAGCAGACATTTCGTGTGTGGAATTAATTCCTGTCTTGGCCCCCTAGGGAGGTGAGGGGAGATGCTAGATCCAGCTGGGAGAAGCACAGACAATAAGTCTGGAGCTAACCAAGATAAAAAAAAAATGTTGGCACCTGTTATGAAACAGAAGGGCATAAACTATGTGAAAAATGAAGTAGGAAAACGAAAGGGCTCAGCTTCTAAGACTCCGACTCTGGCTCACAGCTGCTAGATTAAAGGCACAAGCAGGCTCCGGCTCCCACTTCCATTAGGACAGTGTGGCCTTCGCTGGTTCTCTTTAGTTTCAATCTGAGCCCCTGCTCTCTTGGGAATGGATGGGAGTATTTTGAAAATTAAGTAAATTATATTAAGTTTCATGACAAGTTTCTGTGTGCCACAGTCTGCTGAGGCCTTCATACATATTAACTCAGCCGTCTTTCTGACAACACCATGGAACAGGTTCTTCCATCCTCGTCGTATACATGTGGAAAGAGTCGCAGAGAGGTTAATTAACAAGCCCACAGCCACACAGTTTGTAAGTGGCAGCGTAGGGATGTGAATCCAAAGTCCTGGCTCTCAAGCATACTGCCATGATCACATGTTAAACCATTTGAAAGCAAAGTTGGTATGTTGGGAGGTTCTGAAGGCAATTTGTAGTCTTGGTTAACCCAACTATAGGGTGTCCCTCCAAAATGTGAACACATCAATTGATGGCTCAATTGATGTTTCTTTCTTTTCAAATTTAACCCATTGGAGTTAATACTTATTCAAAGCATGTATACATTTATTTGCGATACCCTGTATATAAAAATGTGGAGGAAGGGTCTTTATGTGGGCTGGATTTTACAGACTGACAGGCCACCAGCCCTTTTAATACATAGTCCTTATTTGAAATAATGTTGGATTCTTTCTCTTCCAGTCATCATTCAGTAGAAAAGAACACACATACGTATATTCTGTACTTTTTTAAAAGGGAAAGTATTTCCAAAGTGGCTTAGTAGATTCTATGACCTCCCAGCTGCCTCTTCATTCCAGCCTCTAGCCAGTACAGATAATGAATAAACACCTCCTTTTGCACACATGTCACTTGGAAATATAAACGTTTAATGTAAACACCTAGTGACAAAGAAAAATCTTCTAAAAATAATGATAATGAGGTTGTAAAACTACTATCAATATCATTGAGATACTAGCTGGAGATGGGATTAGGGAGCAATCAGATTTAGAGAAGTAAACAATTTTGCCTTCTGTGTTCTGCTAAAATAAGAGACTCTTTTAGTCTTTTATTACAGTTTAGATTCAATAATTTTAATGAACATACACAAATTCAGTCTAGCTCTTTCCATTTCTCTAGCTTTTATTTAAAAATTAGAATCAGTAAAAATAATATTTGGTTTTATCAAATTAGTATGTTTCTCTCTAACTCGGGGATAACAAGTTAGCCTGAGTAGAAAGTATTATCTTTCTTGAAAGTCCCCTTGCTTGTTGAATATATCTGAAACCATATTAAGTTAAATATGAATGCTATCTTTAGGAAATTCTTAAATTTAAAAATGTACTTTCCATAGTCCATAACCCAAAAGAAGGGCTCAAAAATAAAATGGGAGGCCGAAACCAGTTTGGCTCAGTGGTAGAGCATCGGTCTGCGGACTGGAAGGTCCCAGGTTCGATTCCGGTCAAGGGCATGTACATTGGTTGCAGGCACATCCTCGGTGGGGGGTGTGCAAAAGGCAACTGGTCGATGTTTCTCTCTCATCGACATTTCTAGCTTTCTATCTCCCTCCCTTCCTCTCTGTAAAAAATCAATAAAATGTATTTTAAAATAAATAAACAAATGAATAAATAAATAAATAAATAAAATGGGAAGACTACAGTATCTCCTTGGGGCCCCTCAAAGAAACAGAGTCACTAAAATATAAGGTCAATTGCATTTATCTGGGTTATCATTAATACAGTGTCAGACTTCTTATTCTAAAACATGTTTTCTAATTCATATTGAAGTGGTTTGCTTACCAATTTTTCCAAAAAGTAAACATTTCTTCTTTTCCAATCACCAAGTTTATAGAAATTATAAAATTAGCCATGATAAAGTAACCTGAGGGTTCACTTAGAAGGAGAATTTAAATTGAGTACATAATATTTAACAAAAAACCATCATATACCAATATCTTTGAACATGAGGACATTTATAGGTCTTGGATACATAACATTGGAAAATGTTTTCATAATTCTACTCAGTAGATTTTGAAATATTTCCTACCTACCCACCCACCTGTTTATGAACTCAAGATATCCATTAAAGAGAAAGATGTGAAAAGAATGAATCTCATTTCATTTTCATTTCCTAATTGGTAGGAAGATGAAAGCTCCTGAGTACCTGACAAGGGCCTGTGGTGTCAGAAAAATTAGATTCACTTTGTGAGAAGAAATAAAGAGTAATATCACCAGTAAAGTGACTAGTCAGTTAAGTAATTTTTTAAAGGATGAGATCATAGAAAAGGTAAGGAAATGAGAAAGAATTAAGACAAATCCTGACCATAGGCATCTATTGAGAAGGAAGATTCCAAATGTAAAGGAAAAGAATGCTTACCTGTCTGATTTTGGCAGTGCACGGGAGAGAAGGAAATATCGTCCAGGGCAACGTATCCTCCTTTGGGACCATTAAAAGCAACTTCAAAAATAAGCTGCAGAGGAAAATGATAGGGTGTGCACCAGCTCCACATATATCCTCTTAGGTTTAAGTGCTCTTAACCATGATGTAAAATGATGTGTCTATAAGCCAGGAGATGCCAAGTTATAGGTACTTAAGGAATCATGTCCCTAAATAGAGGAGTTTGGGCAGCTCCCTCCTCAACCCACAGTCCCTTTTAAGAAAAGCAAATACTAAGCCCTAAGTTGAATTTTATAGGTGAACTTTGCCCCCTCCCTTCAGCATCAGCTAAAATACTGATGTCACTTTCCGACAGAATTCCAGAAGTGACAGTTTGCATTATGAGCTTCAGCTAAAGACACAACAGGCTATTTGCAGAAAGTAGGTTAGGTTCTCTCCCTGCACTTCACAGAGAACTCGCCCCTCTAAGACCTCTGCCTTTTTCATACATGAAATTCTATGTGAGGGTCCTAGACAAAGATGATGCAATCAATTCTCCTGATAGATAAGGCTCAGAAATTCTATACATAGATGTTAAAATTCCAGGAATGTCTGAATGGTTAGGAAGAACATGTTAGTGCATTATCCCCTTTAATTTTGCTCTTTGACACCAACTCTGAGTTCAATCAACAATCTCCTGCCTGTGACCGGGGGGATCAGGTGTGCTGAGCACAGCATTCACCTGTATTGGGAAAACCACCCAAGTGTGAAGTCCACTCTTGTGAATTGATAACAATGTTGAGTATGAGCTGAAACTCAAATGCCTACAAAAACCAAATAGGTCATGACCTGGGGTGATGGAGTAAGAAAGGGTGCCAACGATGGTAAAAAGGCTTTGGCTACAACCTTGTCAGTTGCTGTCATGTGGGAAGTCAGGCCTAATATGTCTGGATCTACCAAACTGTCAAGAGGACCTGGAGCTCTAGATTTTTACTTGAAATCTTTGGATATTTTTTAATGTTGGTAATTAAAATTAAAACAAACAAGCAAAAACAAACACCTCTACAGCAGCTAGGAAAATCATTGTGGACTAGGTTTGACCCACAGGCTTCTAGTTTCAGCCTCTTCTGAACAGAAGAGTGTCTTGGAGGCAGACAGAGCAGAGTTCAAATCCCATTTCCACTGGTTAAAAGCTCGGTGACCTTGCTAAACTTCCTGGGGCCTCCTTTTTCTTATTTATAAAATAAGCATAATAACACTGACGTTGTATGACTGTTGAGATTTAATGAGAAGATGTACATAAAGATCAGAGCATGCAGTCAGGTGCACAATGAGCTCTGAATTAAACGCCTTTTTCTTGGGTTGACCCGGAGCCCAGTTAGCCATTAATTAGCTTGAGCAGGCCCCTTCTCTCCTCTGGATCTCAGTTTCTTCATTTTTGGGGGAAAAAGAAAAAAGAAAAGCATTTGCACAAGATGGTTCCTAAGGTCCCTTTCAGCTTAACAACAGTGGTCCTGCAGAGGCCCGAGACCTGGACTTGGCAGAATCCAAGAAGGGCCTGGAAGTTTACCTCTGGCAAGGCAAGCAGCGCTGAGGACAAAGGGACAGATGTGGGCAAATGAGAAGGGGCAGATGACGCTTACACAGCACTGGTCCATGAAAGCTGATAAAGGACTTGAATGGCAGGACTTATCTTACAGAGCAGGCCAAATGAGAATGATTATTTCGGATCAGAACATGCTCATATGCTCGTCACAGCTCATGTGCCACTCTCTTGCTCAGAAAGAGGGCCTCAATTGCTTGTTTTCCTCTTTAAAGTTCATTGGGTAATACGGTGACATTAAATTCACTGTTTTCTGCAGGATACATTTCTCTTCCTGGCAATTACTGAGAGCAAATAATACAAGCATAATGAGTTTAGACTACGAGAGCAAATTACACGTGTGAATCAAAAGGATATATAGTGAAGTGTAGTAATGCCCAGTTTTGGTTTTTTTTTTAAAAAAGGCAACATTTCATCTAACAAATGTTGCCTAAGGAGTTTATGGTTGGAGGGAAAGAGTTGACAAAGAAAATGCTGTCTGTGTGTGTGTGTGTGTGTGTGTGTGTGTGTGAGAGAGAGAGAGAGAGAGAGAGAGAGAGAGAGAGAGCAAGCGCATGTGTGTGACTCATTTGACTTTAACAGAAGGAAAAATTATTTCTGAAGCAGTATGTGCATTTCTCTTTCTCCATGTAACCCAAGCTCACACACTTTCCACTGAGCTGCAAGAGCAAACCGCGGCCTGGCCAGCCTTTGGGAGGGGCACAGTGCTCTTCCTAGGCTGTATTGGGAGGGGCGGGGAAGAAGGGGTCCTGAAGAGGGTCAGGGGAGTGGCAGGCCATCGGGAGATAGAACACGACAGAAACCAAGGCCCAACCCCACCCTCTCTGAAGCTCCACATCAGGCAAGCAGATGGCACCACCAAAAAGCACCCAGAGGATAATCCCCTCCTTTTGCACTTTCAAGGGGACAGGGAAAGAGACTGTAAAAAGCACAAAGTGAAAAGCAGGGGATAATGATAACTCGTGGCAACTAAGACTCTACTTATATCTCCAACTCTGCAATCCTACCGTTGCCCCACATATTCGAGAGGTCCCATGGATCCTCAGACAGAGCTGGGCCTCTCCTGCAGCTTTCGGTCAGGTTTTAGTTCGGGGACTTTTCTAAGTGCCTGGCACTCACCAGCTGTGTGACCCAGATGAGACATATCAATCTCCTCAGACTCTCTTTCTTGTTGGCGATATGGGGATATTTTGTTTACCTCATTGGACTGTTGTAAGTACTAGACTATAGATATGTATTCATCTATATGCTTAGAAAAAAAGGTATTTCAAAGAAAAACACCAAAATGTTTGTTGTTCTCATCTTTTTGCCGGGTTGGCCCTGCCTATTTTAGTTTGTTTTTGCTTCCCTAAATTTACTAATTCTTCTGCATTGGGCATTCATGACTCATGTAAAAGTTTTAAAACCAAAGCACCATTGTTTCAAATTCGGACCACAATCATAACTTTAGTTTTGATTTTTATGATTATTATTTATATTGTAAAGGAGAAAAGAAAAATACTTTTTTTTTCTAGGAAGACTATTCCTTCAAATAAAGGAATAGAAATAACCTTACTTATAATACCCCTTTCATAACTGCTTGCACAAATGAAAGTTCAAGAGTGACTTTCACTTAGAAGGCATTGATCTTTTTTGACCTTCCACGGTGCAAGGTTCAAAGAGAAGGTGGGCCCCCAAATCTAGTTGGTGACAGACTTTTCCATATCCAGCCTTAGAAAAAACAATCGTGTTAGAAAATGAAGGTGATAAAGGAGGAAGGCAGATGGGAATACAAAGAAGGGAGAGAAGTGGAGGGGACCGAGAAAGGGAAGAGAGAAAAAAGAATGGGGTACAGCAGAGAAGAATGAGTGTGAGACTGTAGCACCTCCTGACCTGGATCCATCTCTGTGTGGGCAGTACCTTGCACTGTGGCCAGGACAGGACCCATGGGACACCTACCTCCATGGGGTACGGGGCACTGAACTCCACTTCCGCGAGGTTCCAGGCAGGATTCCCCGGGCTGTTGGTTTTCCAGATCTCCTCATAAACACCCGTCACATCCCGAGAATACAGGGAGAAGACATTGTCATTCCCCTGCTGGAGTTGGTAATAAAACGACAGGCAGCCAGACATGGGGGCTGTGGTCATGGGGGAGATGAGCTGTGCCACCTCCTGGAAGTGCTTGATGTAAACCGAGTCCACGTACATGTAATGGCCTGGAGACCACAGAGAAAAGAAAACAGCGTCAGACAGGCTGGGGTTTTCAGAGGAAATGGTGGGATTCTGGGGTTTACTCAGAATCATCCAGTGGTAGTGATGGAGAGGAAGTGAATGCATCACCGATGAGAGAAGTTTGGTTATGGGCTGATGAAGGGTGCACCTGGGAGATAAACACATGGAGTTCACTGTGCTCTGCTAAATGCAAGATGAGAACCATTCTTTTTCTTTTCCTTGCATTTGACTGCAGTAAACATCCATATAGAAAGGTAGATATATCATCTGTAAAGTGCTTGAGTTATCCCAAGCTGAACACAGCTGTGGAAAGAAAACAGAACATTACCCCAGGGGACGCCCCCTGCCAAGCCTTCTTTGAGTTATAAGGATTCTAAGGACATGCCAAGTGTACCATCTGTTTCTAAAAAGGCACAGGGGACCTCCTATACATCTTTACAATATATACCAATGTCACTGTATATTCTTTGAGAAACTAAGATTTACAATTCTTACTGGATGACAAGTTATATCTCTCTCATAGAACAGGTTAGGTCAATCAGCGCTGCAGATAGGATTAGGGTTTGGAAGGTTGAACTTGTGATGCACTCTTTGAAGGCCTGGGTGGGCTCTGGACTCAGAGGCTGACCTCCATGGCAGGCATTTTGGTGAAACTGAGAAAGGACGAGGCAGAATAGGGAGAGCCCGGATTTGGCAATGAAAGAATTAAGTTTTACTCCTGCTCTATCTCTTACTAGCCCTGTGACCTCGAGCAAGTTACTGAATCTCTCTGGGCTTCAGTTCCTTAATCTCTAGAATGAGAATCAAATAGTTCTCTCATTGGATTGGTATGAGTATGAAATGAGATTATGCATACGAAGTCCTTGGCATGTGCCTGGCACATGGTAATTGCCCAACATAATTATAATGAGAGAAAATAATGTCACTAATGATTCTAACACCATGTTTTCCCCACAGTCTGTTTTATGTAAAGAGGAGCCATTATTATTAGCAATTCTGTCTGAATTTATTTAAGCTGCAATGACAAAGGAATGTTAGGCAATGCAGCTTCCACAGAATGGCCCTTCTATTTACAAGCTCAGAACAACTACAGCCTAATAATATCTTTGTCTTTATTATATTATGCCTGCTTAATATTGATTCCTCTTATCCTTGGCAAAACAGTGGTAAGGATATTAGGAAGAATATATGCATTCACACACTGGATACTTACTTTGATCTAGCACACTGCCCAGTAGGTGATAGGCCCTCAACCCATGGTTATTCAGAGCATAAATATGGTCTCATGACGACAAGGTAAAGGAGAGAGATGGACAAATCAAAGCTTTCTTTCTCCTGGTAGCAAATTGTCCAATCCCTGAATAACCTTCCTTTCTTTCTTTCTTTCTTTCTTTCTTTCTTTCTTTCTTTCTTTCTTTCTTTCTTTCTTTCTTTCTTTCTTTCTTTCTTTCTTTCTTTCTTTCTTTCTTTCTTTCTTTCTTTCTTTCTTTCTTTCTTTCTTTCTTTCTTTCTTTCTTTCCTTCTTTCTTTCTTTCTTTCTTTCTTTCTTTCAAAATGTATTTTATTGATTTTTTTACAAGGAGGAAGACAGAGGGATAGAAAGTTAGAAACATCGATGAGAAACATCGATCAACCTTTCTTGTTTAAAGATAATTTCTTAAGTCATCTTGCCAAGCCATGCAACTGTGAATACATGGAGATCACAAATTCTGCTGCTCAGAGGAGCCATCTAGGTCAGGTATATGACTGAAGTAGATTGGGTCAGGGAAGAAGACACCATACAATATTATTGACTATATTCCCTATGCTGTACTTTCTATCCCTGTGACTATTCTGTAATTACAATTTGTGCTTATTAATTCCTTCACCTTTTTCATCCATCCCTCCACCCCCCCCCCCCTTATCTTTACTTAGTCTCCCAAGTCCCTTCCCTCTGACAACTACCAGTTCTCCAGAGACGAAGTGTTTTGTTAGTTTGTTTTCAGAGAGGAAGTTTTTAATGCACTTCCTAATAATATGTCTTACCAATGGAACAATCTTCCTAAGACACGCCACCAGGTAAACTGGGTAGAAGAGCTACCATGGAGGTGGGCTGCTGACATTTCCTTTAAGTGAGTTTGCTTCATGGACCACAACTGACTGACTGAGCCTCCAGCTATCTCACGTGTGGGTCTATGATGGCCGCAACACACTGGGCTGTTCTCAACCAGTGACCAAGCACAGCAGGGGGACCAGAGCAGTGGCAGTCTGTGTGACAGGGGCACTTCAACAATTCCCCAACGGCTTCACCCCTTTCACAGGCGGTGGCCTTCCAGCTGTGCCGAAGGCTCTCCCATGGCTGTATTATGACTTGTGGGGAACCAAGACATTCTCACCATTATGGGCTCCTTTCTCCATAAAACATACTAACATTATGGATATTTTACTAGAGGCCTGGTGCCCGAATTTGTGCATGGGTGGGGTCCATCTGGGTGGCCTGTGGGGATTGGGCCGAAACCCACAATCCAATGCTTCCTGCAGCTCCTAACTGCTACTCCCACTCATCCCAGCCCCACTGTGCCTGCTATGGGCTCGCGCCAATCAGTCCTGATCAGGAGAGGCTTGCACTGCCATAGCAGTTCTCACCAGCCATGAACCCTGTGTCTGGCATCCTCCCAAGGAGAGTGGCCTGCAGGATTGGGCTGAAATATGCTTTCCAACATCCCCTAAGGGGTCCCAGTTTGCGAGAGGGTGCAGGCCAGGATAAGGGACCCCATTGGTGCACGATTGGGCTGTGAAGGGACCACAGGAGGGGTCCAGGGTATGCCTGGCTCATCTCACTCAGTCCTGATTGGCCAGACTCCAGCAGCAAGCTAACCTACTGGTTGGAGCATCTGCTCCCTGGTGGTCAGTGTACATCATAGTGACTGGTCAACGGTCAACTGTCTGCCCCCGATGGTCTATGCACATCATAGTGACTGCTCGACCAGTTGACTGTCTGACTCCTGGTGGTCAGTGCACATCATAGGGAGCGGTTGAGCATTTTTAGCATATCATTAGCATATCACACTTTGATTGGTTGTTCTGCCATTTGATCTATTTGCATATTACCCTTTTATTATAATATATGGGATGACTGCATTGGATAAAGATTAATATAATCCAGGCAGGACTTTTTGTATTTATTATTGCATTCATTTTTTTTCTTTTTATTTTAAAATAAATAAAATATAAACATTCTCATAGATCCTGAAATATGTCGTTGCTCCTAGGTGCATGTTTACTATGCCTAATGGATATATTGACAAGGCCCAGTTACTCCAGTTCTATCCTTCCTTTACCCTCCATAGTCATTTTCCCCAATTAGTCTCTTTCACACCAATCTCATCTTAGTGTCTGCTTCTTGGAGGACCGTTCTACCCAAGCTGAGGAACACCTCCAAAGACTCTCGGAGACTCTCAGTGAATCTGGGGGAGACCTCACCTACCTACTTGTAATCTCAGAGTGCATGATAATTGTGCTTAGATGTCTCAGATCCTGTCCCATTCTGAATTATATTCCTAACCATCTTTTTTAGAGGCTACTTACCTGCTGTGTGAATAATATTTTAATCCCTGAATTTGCAATTAAAGTCCCTCATTATCAACACATGTACAAGACACTAGACCAACTGAGCCAAAAATCACATTTCTGATCCAAAAAAACACCCAGCAAGCACAACGTGACCTGCCCAAAGTGAGTCAGAGAGGCTTCTGGGAATAAGAACAGGACTGCTGACAAGTCTCACATGGAACCACTAGACTAGACCACATCATTCATTCGCTGCCAATGTTGGGTACTATTTGCTGAGCATCTGAATAAGACTAAGTTTTTCACTGGAAAACAAAAGGTAGCTCATCATAAGTTTATCATCTCAGTTGAAGGGGTGGGGATGATTCAGAAATCCCCAGGTGTCTGCCCAGGCTGAGTGTGTGTCATTGTTGGGCATAATCTGCTCTGAGCAATAGGCTGGGTGGGTGCAGGCACCATTTTGTGTGCCTTTCCAAGGGGAATGGAGAAGGTACCGGAGTTCTTGGGGAATTATGTCTAGTGTCTGGTATTATGAGAATTTTCCTGCCAAGTTTAATGAGGTCAACTCTCTTATCTGGCTCTAGAGCCTCCAAAATTTCTGTGAGAGGCAAGTTTTATCAGATCCTTTAAGTTTGAATAGGATAAAACTAGGCATAGATGGACCTTATGTGAAGCTATACCTAGGATCATATAATCAACCAAATCATTGGGAATCCTATTGACCACAAAGACTTGTAAGAATTACATTTTTAAACTGGAAATAAAAGAACCTATGAAGGGGATAAGGGTTGCCTGATAAGATTAAAAAGTGAGAAGTTTGTTGCTACTCCTCTAAGGTCTGAGCTGCTTTGCTCCTCATTCTGGATTATACGCCAAAAGCCTTCAGTTTCAAGGGGAAGAGAAACCCCAACAATTTTCAGTTCTGCTGAAAGGTAAAAACACTTAATGGTGCCACCAAAGCCAAAGCCCTCCGGCACTATGTCTGCAGTGGCCGTGCATGAGCACTTGCCTCTGAAGAGGAACGTCCCCCTTTCTTGAGCAGCCCCTGGATTAGCTCAACTTTTCATATGGAATCCATGGCCCCTGCTAGTTCACCATTTTCCTTTGAATTAAGAAAATAATTTTGAGGGAAGTCCCAGAACTTTAATTTCCAAACAGTCTGGCTAACCAGCATTCCATAAAGATTGCCCTTGGCTTGGCTGCCTGGCCAAAGGCGTTCTCTGACTCAGCTGTGATTCCGCCCCGCTGGCCACAATTGTGCTCTGGTTGTAACGCCTGCGTCCGTGTCATGGTTGTTTGGACAAGCTGTCTCCCAGGTGAGGAGCAAGTTTGGTCTGCAGAATCGTGTGCCAGCTGGAAACACCCCCTGGTCTGCTGGCATTGTGAGGAGACAGCCCCCAAAGATGGCCAGTCATCGTGTCTGCTCTCCTAGTCC